TTTAAATATACTTTTTCATAAATATTTTTCTTGTATATATTTTATTTTATTCATTCTTATAAGAAATATTGCATTAATTTCTGGCACACAGGTATTTCAGCCAAGTTTACATCGCGAAAACCTTTTAAATATTTTAAATATATTTGTACAGATTAAATTTCGAATGCATAATCGACTGTGATGCATGCAAAAATTAATATATATAATAATGTAATTATATTTAATCAACATCAAACACTAACATGTCAGCTGATATTAATATCATATATTTAAAAACTTTTCGTTCAGTATTTTAATAACATGACACATAAGCTTATGAATGACATGCGAAAACTGCACGTGCAATGGCCATGCGATTAATATCGATGCTCAAAGTGTTCTGTTATCGATCACACACACACACACACACACACACACAGAGCCAGTGTTGCCTGTTGATGAGCATCTTTTTGGCATTTCGACCCCTTCTCAGCCTTCTCAGCACAACACCCATGCAAGCTGCATGCTTAATTTGCAGTGCAAATTCCCCAGCGCGTTGTGATAAACTACCGAATTCGAACGTGACAAAAGTTGTTGATGACAAAAACAACAACAGGAATATGAACAGGACTGCAGAGGGGAAAGTGTGGAATGACGGGAGGGGCATTGCTTGTTAGACGAGCCGAGCAGCCGCACAACAAACAGCAAAATAGAAATGACTTTAATAGCTCATCAATGATTCAAGCGGAAATCCGGCCTGTCCAAGTGCAGTCGGTTTATTGGATACCGGAAGGGCATTATGTTGCCGTTGCCGTTGTCCTGGCCCGAGCTGACGTCCATTTGTCCCTGTCTGTTGCGCTGCTGCTGTGGTTGTTGTTGTTTATTTGTTTGATTGGGCTGACTGACTGCAGCAACTGTAGCTGTGTGTGTGTGTGTGTATTTGTGTGTCTGCTTAGCTGAAATGATTTTCACGCTGCCTCCAAAAAGTATGCAACGAAATTTGCATATTGTTTTGTCGTACGTCTACGCCCTGCCACGTGCGTGTGTGTGTGCTTGTGTGTAACTCAACATATGCACCCCAGCTATTGTATGTGTGTGTGTGTGTGTTTGTTTTATTATTTTTTTTTTTGGTATTCAACTCACACCTCAACCCAGGTTCACAGCCTGAACATTGCTCCACAGCCCTTTGCACCTGTCTGCCTCGGCGTCGGCTCGGCCTCGAACTCTGTGATCCCGCACCCCGTCCTGCGGCCAGTTCCATTCTCGGTTTTATCTGGCTGTGTTTGTTTGAACATATCTGCATCATTATTATCATCATTATAGATGGCACACGGCCAGTGGCTATGTGACAGTAGCCGCTTGGCTTTTGTATCTCATTTATTATGCAAATCTGAACGAGACTGCAACTCGAACTGTGACTCGGCGCACGGGACGGCAATTGGGAATGGTTATTGGTCTGGGGCTTGATTGTGCCATGTGGGCGCCGTGCCTTCAATATGGGCGCCAATTGGTCAACAAGTTCAACAGCTACAACAATTATGTTGTTGCACTCACACGAAACAGCAACAGCAACAATAACAACAACAACTGGACACGCCCGGCCGCATACTCTTCAGCAGCATTTGGCACCCTGTCGCCTTGGTCTATTTCTCTGCAGCTGCCAGCAATTATAGTTCTTGGTTTTAAGTATATCCTTGCGAAAGGTATTTAAATATCCAGATGAATAGTTTCTCATGCTAAGCAGAAAGCACAGACAAGCTCGTCTTGGTTTATATAGACAATATCAAAACTAGTTGAATCGGGTTACTATATCTGAGATATAGGGGTTACTATATCTTAGATATAGATTTAAAATTAACACAAATTGAATGTTTTACCAGGGCATTTTAAGCTTGGAACATCGAAATTAACACATTTATTGTATATTATTTGTTTTAAATTATGTAAATAATTTTTGAATTAAAGCACACAACGTGCTAATAAATAATGACACTTATCAAGAGCGAATATTATAATTTATTTAAAATCCAAAACTTATTTGGTGTACTTCCAAAATGCATTTAACATTTCAAACGAAGCCCTCTCGACTAGAAAATACTTTGTAAACGAGCTTAGAGCATAATAAACCCCCAAAGGATTCGCTTCGCATGGAACTAAACCTTTCGCAGTTCTCGATAGATAAGTTAACCAAGCTATCCAGTAAAATATATGTCCACTGGAAATCGTTTTTAATCTCTTTACGTCCATTTACACACAAATACTAGAGTTGTAATATCTTCTCACTACAGTAGAGAATATAAATGGTAATATACTCGCTCATCGTGAAAACAATATCAGAGTTTACAGATTATGCCACCCCACAAATAATATACAAATTATAATTCGAGAAAATAGATGGTGAAAGGGAGAAGCGGGCAGAGAGCAGAGCGAATTGACGCCTGGCAATAATAAAAAGTAAATAAAAATTTCAATTTTTCAGTGTTAATCAATTACGTGATTTAATTGAAAATGCCAAAGTCAATAACAAAAAATGTAAATATACAAATATAAAATAAAAAAAAGAATATAAGCCCTTAAACAAACAATATAACAAATATATATGTAGGTGTATACAGAAATATTTATATATATACATATAAATATATATAGATATATATATAATGTATATTTAGCTTATCTATCAATTTCAAATGCGAAAGCTATGTTTATTCAGGCCTATTGCCTATGGAATGAGACTGGAAATAAGAGAGAGACAGAGAGTAAGAGAGAGATGGAGAGAGAGAGAAAATCAGTTTGAGATAGACAATGGGAACTGTGCGCCGCATTATTGTTTCTGTTTTTTTCGTTTTGTTTACCAATGAATTTGATTTCAATTAACATAAAGCCAAAAAAAATGAAAATGCGATTGAAACAGCGAAAACAAATTACTTATAGAGGGACTTGCAATGAAAGAACAAACAAGGAAAATAACAAAGCGACAATCGAAAGAATGAAATAAAAGAGATATTGCATATACATGCAAATGGGAATGAAAAAGGATAAGTAAATAGCAAAAAGGGATACTTCAGATATTAAACAAAAAGAGAAAAATCTATTTGACTTTGAAAATAATATTTGATACGAAATGAAATGATACGAATGAAAAATTTAGAATAAATATTTTACAGAATTTATCAATTTCAGAATAATAAAAATTCAGATGTCTCGAATTTTTTATAACTTCAAACAGAAAATAATTAACAAGTCTTCGGGATTATATTTCCTTAAATATTTATTTTTCTTTTAAAAACCTTTTTTCAGCTGACAAGTTTTTTAACATGGATTTATAAATTATACATTTATTTCTTCTTTGTTTGTTTTTCTTGCCAAGGAGAACCGCGCCTGGTACCAAAGTGTTGACGCTTGCGAGTGACCACTGTAACATGGGTTCAATGGAAAGTCTTCAAACGTGGTGTTCATAAGGCGAATGATTAACAAGCTGCAGCTGGAGATAATATCTAAAGTATGCCTCGCCGAAGCCCCATGGCAGGAATCTGCTCACCGGAAAATGCAGCAGCGGGACGCCAAATAGACAAAGAAAAAAAAACCAAAAAGAACATTTTGCAATGAGGCTCTGAATTGTTTCGACGATGCTGGCGATAGGGAAACAATAAGAACGCACATCCGAAGCCGGCCGAGGAATGCACAGCAATCCAGTCGAGGCGTCCTTGTACAACTGACTGTCTGACTGTCTATCTTTGTGTGTGTGTGTGTGCGGGTGTGTGTGTGTGTGTGTCAAAACAAATTTCATTTCACATTCAATTAAATTAATTTTAACACCATTTGCAGGCGGCAGGACAGCAGGCAGCACAAGAAGATGCCAATGCCAATGAGGCACAGCAGGACGCAGGACGCAGGATGCAGGACGCAGGACAACAGTGGAGTTGGAGTAGCAGCATGGGTGGGAGCAGGAAGCCGAAGCTGCAGCTAAAGTTGTGAGAGTTCTGTTGGTTGTGGGCGCTGTCGCTGTTGCTGCCGCATGCCTTTGCCACGTTTTCCACATTTCTTCACTTTACCGTTAATGGTTTTATCTTTTCCTTATTGTTGCCGCCGAAACGCCAACCGCACCGCACCGCACCAGCCCGCCCCGCCGCCCAACAGATCGATCGAGTCCGAGCTCAAGTCCGAGTCAAGCTGAGCCTCTGCCACGGCCGAGCGAGCGAATTCGAACAGCGAGTTAATATAATTACAGAAATAAAGTCTGGAATTTTAATTAAAACACAACTTCATTTACAGCCGCAGACGACAGTCGAACGCTGAACAAACAGTCAAGTGTGCGGGATGGCTGGGTGTCTGATTGGGTGGTTAGTGGGTGTGCATGTGGGTGTGGGTGTGGTGCGAAGTTGCGGGGCGTGTGTGGCAGGTGTAGCCGCAATAGACAATGACAAACGAATGGCCGCAGTCCCAGTTCGAGTGTCTGTCATTTGGACTAGAATCGATATAATGAAATTCGAACAATTAAACCGGAAACAGACAGAGAAAGAGAGAGAGGGCGAGAGAGAGAGAGAGGGAGAGAGAGAGACAGAGAGAGAGAAAGAGACAGAGAGAGAGAGAGTAAGACTGGTGCCGACTAGCAAATGCTCTGTGATGGTTGATTCAAAAAATAAAAATCTTAATTTTGAGCAAATTTGACGAAAAAGACAGTTGTTACATTACGTTCTTTTTTTTTTAAACGGGGTCGCTTCATTTAAATACTCTGTTCACAAATGGAAAAACAAGTATATTGGTGTCCAGCCGGCTGTTAGAGTTTTAAGGGCATTTTAAAGGCAGCAGAAAAGTGCAACTTCCTATCCCCAAAGGATCAATCAGTCAAACGGATCAATTAATACATTAATTGAGGAGGTGCGAAAGTATACTTTGACGAGTCACACGGGCTGAGTACTAGTTCTATCTGAAGCTCGACTGGCAGCTCTATTATCCGTACCCTTTATATTGACACAAATGATCCAATTCAATCTTAAGAATTAAGTCAACTAAATAAGCTTAATTTATTTTAAAAAGTAAGGCATACATTCATCACAAATGTACAACCGACTAGTATAACCCAAATGTGAGTGCCCCTTAGTATTCCCCCATTATTGCTCTGGCTTGGTGTTCACATTCTTCTTAACTGCGCCTGGCACTGGTTTCTTGAGCGGCAGCAGTTGCTCAGTCCTGGCAGACATTTCGTCGGTTTTAGCCAAAGTCGGTTTGTTGAAGTATTTACGCTCGACGGCCGCCATCTTAATCTTGAGTAATTCGCATTTCTGGGATATTTTGTGCAGGCGCTTCCCAATGGGATCCCAGTTCTTGGTGCGCTCCGAGTCATATACGTACTTCTCCAAATATTGGCGTAGGTCCGGATTGTTCTTCTTGCACATATCGCACATGCCAAACTGCCTGATCTGGGCACGCGCCGGTAAGGCGTGATAGCATTCCGTGCAGATGAGCACATGAAGATCCTTTATTGGAACCATATGTACAAAATGCTTATTTGTGCATGCCTTAATCGCGGCAGACTTACCTTCTTATCCATTTCGTACGACTTTCGACTAAACGGCAACTTCTTTATATATTTTTGTCGATTAACAGTTTCTGACACGTGTCAGACGATGTTTTCAACACAAGAGAACTTAAATACAACAGTGTGACATCACGTGTCGATTAATTTGAAATATCTAGTAATGCTTATTAGCACACATCGATACCCGCTCAAATCAATGACGAGCATGTTAATTCTATCTGAAACTGCAGCTCGTTAACTAATATCTCTCCCATCTCTAACTACATCGTTGCAAGTATTAGTACAAGGCTAAGTAGTTAGTAATACCGATTAGTTTAGCCTAATGTTGATAGAATATTTAATGCTTAGCCACAGGCTTACACTTTATTTGTATAGGCCTCACACTTTTCTATCAGAGCTTGCAGCAGTTGCAGAGCTTTCGCATGAACCTCATATTGACTTTCGTAGGCCGTCAGATCAATCTTAATTCAACAAATATTTGCCTGCGCAGAATAATTTTCTCTGTCTCAAGTTAAGCTTGCGACTTTCCAATAATTAACTTTTTAAGGAATTGTCTTTTCTTTTCACAGTTCACCTTGTGACAATAGGCTAACCCTTTTTTCAACACAGCTGGAATCTTGTGAAAGAAAGAAAACTCTACAAATGCCCAACAATTCACATCGATATGCGTTTAAAAAAGTGTTGAGTAAGTGCGGAAAGATGGTGCTTAATATTATGATGCCATATACTTATATACCTCTCTTGACTGATCGGACGCACTTTGAATGCCTGATAGTCCGTCAAACGTTCCGTGCTTACAGGGTATTGCGAAGGCAATAGGAAAGATTTGAGCTCAGGATCGCGTCGCGTTCAGAATTAGTTCGGAATCAGCTAATGATTGTTTCCGGCGCTTGTTGCGCAGCTTTTGCCGCGCACCAGCCATGCAACATGCAACAACGGCTGATAGCACCAGTGCCAAATTCCTGTTGCAGGCGCTGTTGCCGAGGTTGCCTAATCAAAAACAGAAGCTATAAAAGCCGCAGCTGTGACAAGCGCTGGTCGCTGATGGGCGGCGTTGGGTGGGCGGGGTCAGCTACAGCAGCTGACATATGCACATGCGAATTCGAATTCCAGTCTGCGTGTGTCTGTGTCTGTGTGTGTGGGTGAGTGTTTGTGTTTGCGCCATTTTGGGTTGGGCTTGGCTCGGGCACACGTTGCGTATGCGCAACGCATTTTTGGGGCACATCGCACGTTAAAACAACTAATGGATAAAATTTCAGCTAAAATTTGCAAAATTTGCATTTTTTGACGTTGTTTTTATGCATTTGCCAGCCATGTACGTACAAGGCCCGGCCCCCGCTATGGCGGCCCCCCTCTGACCATCTGTTTGTGTTGCAAATATAATTTTTAATTTAAATGCAAATTTTGGAAATCATTTTCGAAGCATTATGTGCCCATATTGATACGCAAATTGCTGTCAGCACACGCATAGACATAGACATAGGCACACACACGCACACCGACGCTGACACACGCACACACACGCACCCATATGCAGATTTAATAACGCATACGCGTCAGTCAACCGCTGGAACAGGCCGCAACCAACAGTTTTAGAGCGTCGCCTGCCTCTGACGCTGAGGACGTCGACATGCGCTGTGACCGCCGCAGCCACCGAAAAGCTGACAACATCAGCGAAGCCAAACACCGAAACCCACCATACACACACTAGCACACGGACACACACACACGGACACACACACACACACACACACTAAAACTGTTGTGCGTATTGATTTTTGAAGAATTTGTTAGTTGCGCGAGCGCTCAATGATGGGCCGCCTCGAAATGCCTCTGTTTTGAATGTTTATTGGCGGTGGCACTGTGCCGACAACAACAACAACAGCCACTGGCACTAGCTAGAGCGCAACTGATAGATACCCTGTACTCGCTTTATTTCTCATTTTAAATTAAAAACCAAGCTCTGCTTGGGAGTGCGTCATGCACAAGACACCCTGTCTGCTTGTTAGTTAAAAAATGGCCGCCCGGCAATTTTCCGACATTTTACAACACTATTTTCATATATTTTTAAAACCGAATCGATACGCTTGAGGGAGGGACTCATGTTATATAGAAATGTTAAGTTCTTGTCTCAAACTTATCAAAAAGTTTCAGATTTTAAGAATAGGAGTGAACTAAGGTGTCTGACTAGGAAATGCCGTGTACCCAGCTTAGCGAAATGCCATCAATATTGAATTTATAAAACTTAATTTTTATCTTACCCTTAGGAGGGAGGGTGTGGGAAGGTATTCCTAAGAGAGCATGCATAACCAATTTGATTTCTTCACCTACTTTACAATAAGTGTTTTTAACTGGCCTTCACTTAACGAATCTCATTGGAACACCTCTTTGCCTAATTTGAATGGCTACAGGGTATTGCCAGCAACTACAAAATTGCAAAATGCGCATCACTGGGGAAAAGTGTGTAACCAAGCGAAGGTGTCACTCTGTCAAAAGAGTAGGCATCGCTTCTCCCCGCCTACGTTAAGCCTATGCCGCCCTCATTTCCAGCCCTTGCCCTTACAACTGCTGCCCATCCATTCAACGGAGGCAGCGAAGTGCGAAATTCAAATGCAAAGTCCGCCTACACTGTGCCAAAAACTTGATCAACTTATCAACATCAATTCAATCAAAATTCAGAAATTCGATGAGCATTGAGCTGAAGGCAGCCTGTGCTGATAATCATGAAAATACAGTTGAGAATGGATTGCCAATGATTTTCCCTGAAAAAAAAACTATTTGGGGGCTTACTAATCGTACTGAAATCTATGGTAACCAATGGGAGGTTGAATAGATATAATTTAATAATATTTTTAAATGTTCAGTGTGCAATAACGTCATTTGGTGTATCGATATATCGATTACTAATGTACTAAATTAATCGACAAGAGTTCTTACAACTAGAGCTTACATAATAATATTAAAAGAATTAAAATAATAAAGCTAATAATAACAATAATATTAATATTAAGAATTAAAATATTAGTTATAATGATAATAATACTAAAATGAATAATATTAACAAACTTTTCCTATATATGCTAAAACTAAATTTGAAAAATATTTTAAATTATTTACTGTGCTTGGGATGTGCGAAAAGATAACAACATAAAAGTAAAAATGTTTCTCATTAAATAATATGCTGTAATTGACACATACGTTCAGTGCACATGTAAAATAGAGGTCAGTCCTGGAAATAGTTTTGAAATGAATTTCAATAGTTGCTTACATTAAAAGTTAGTCTGTCATTCAGTTTTAAACTAGTTAGTTTCTTTGCCTGCATGTCCATGCGTAACAAGTTTTTACTGTATACTGTTTGACAGGCCCCGCAATGCCACTCAGCGGACTTTGTTAAGTGCTGGCCCGCGGCAATTGGCAGCCCCCATGTATCGTGGTGGCCGTCATTTAAAACCATTTCACAAGTCGTCAAATCCGATTATGAACTCATTTCACTATGAACTACTTTGATGTTTAATTTGCAATTTAATTTTAATGTGCCTAGATGGCAATCTACCCTGCTCCAGCCCCCTACAAAGCCCGATCCCACCGACTGTTCTGCCTGTTTGTCGGCTCGCAGCCACCTGGGCGTATGAGCAATTCGAAAAAGGGTCCGTCGCCATGTTTTGCGGACGCTTCCTCTAGCGATAATTTTATTATTGTCGTTGTTGTTGCTGCTGATGTTGATGCTATTAGTTGGTTGCCAGCTGGCCATTAACGTCCATTTAGTCAGACGCCACGCATTTCTAAGTTGGTAACATTTTCTAATTGCTGCTGCCAGTTGTTTCAGCGTGGCAAATACCAGTGAAGCGGGTGGCAAACAGAGGTGGCAGCTACTGGGTAGCCAACGACTTGAACGTTCATTACAGCTGACAGGGGCTAGCAGCACAGGAGAGTTGGGGTAGCTTTTGTTGCCATTGATTTCACCCACATTGCGTGCTGCTGGGCTGCTGGGTGTGGCAGCAATTAGTGCATCAGGCTGCAATACCTTTCGACCTCAGGTGGCAGCATGCGCCCAACTCGAGCACTTATCACACACAAACGACAAACGTCCACACACTTATGAATATTTTAAAATTCATTGCAGCAGCAGCAGCAGCAACTGTTGTTGTTGTTCTTGTTGTTTTTTTTTTATTGAAATCTAGGCGGAAATTAAGTTGTCCCGCTCGACTGACACGGAGGCACGAACGGAGCAGCAGCAGCGGCAAAGGCAACGGCAATCTAGACGCCTGGACACCTTTCGACTGGCATTGGAGATCCTTTGCCTGCGCTACCTGAGACACCTTAATGGACATGAAAGACCGAAGTTCAGCTTGGATACATGTTGATGTATGCAGCCAGCAGCCAGCTGCCAGCACTAGTTGAGACCTTATGCTACCGCATGGCCGGCGAAATGGGGGATCTGTTCAACAAACGTTAACTTTTAGACTAAAAGGGATCAATAAAGGAAATGGAATGAAACATAAATATGTATTAACTAGTCGGGAGAGACGAAAGGGAATAATATATTATATAATAGGTTATGTTAAATGAAAAAAGCATCCAATTTTGTATTCTTCGAATGGAGATACAATAACCTATAATTAATTTATAAAAAGCCAGAACTACTTTTTGTCTTCTCAGTCCGCATTAACTTAAGTCCGTGGCTAACTTAAGAAATACTAAAACAAATCCGAAATAACTAAAGGGGAAGGGTATGCCAAAGCTTACATACCCTAGCAGACATATGGATTTGAAGCGTTTTAATACCAAAACATATTTAAGTCAGGGTATCTTGAAAAACGAAAATATGTTTTACCCTTCTTTGCCCATCTGTGCCCCTTGCACAGCGCCTCTGGCTGGTAGCTGGGGCATGTGACCCGCATGACCAGGGCGATGTCAGTTCTATTCAACTCAAAGGAAGCTGTGTAAGAGCCAAAGAATGAGCCCCTGAGACGAGCAAGAAGCTTTCACCTGTTTCACCTTTTGGCTTTTGCACGAAGCCGGCGCATGAGCAGTAGTTGGAGCGGGAGCAGGACCTGACGCTGGGATTGGGCACTTTGCATGCAAGTCGAAATGGTGACACGTTTACCAGTAGG